ACTCAAATGTTTATTCTTCTTAAGTTCTTTCTCCTTAGTTTCATTGAGCTATGTGTGTGTGTGTGTGTGTGTGTGTGTGTGTGTGTGTGTGTGTGTGTGTGTATGTGTGTGTGTGTGTGTGTGTTCTTTAAATACCTTGAATTCTTTGATGAAGTTTGATTGCTCTTTTTAAATTTTGTGTTCTGGAGTTTATCTAGGCAATTATCATTGGCAAACAGATCTACAGGACTGGCAGGATTCAGAGGGGAAATACTGGCTTGATCTTTTATAGTGTTGGTATTTTTGCAATGATATCTGGGCATGTGCATTCTTTTGTTAGTTCTAAGTCTGTTATGGACACATTTATGGGCAGACGACAGTATGTGTGAACAGGTTGGGCCTAGAGACTCCAAATGGCTTCAGCAGAATGAACTCAGGTAGACCGAGGGGACTGGGCTTGTGTATGAGATACGTTTACTGGTCCAGGCCTGAAGTATAGGGGTGGATCTAGCTTAGTAGACAGGTTGGATATGGCTTGGGAAGGGACTGTGGGCTCGGGGATGGGTAGGGAGAGTCCTTGCTGAAGTCTAGAGATCATTTGTGATACAGGCAGTAGAGAGCAGACTAGGCTGTACGTAGAACCCAAGCTAGACCAGATTGGTGGGGAGAAGGCAAGGATGGGGAGGTCAGGGTGACTCATCAGACTAGACCTTAGAAAGGGAGATGGAAATCTTGCTGTGTAGAGAGGTTGAAAGCAGTACAAATGGGACCTGTGCATGATCCTGCCAGAAGTCTAGAGGTCAGCTTTGACGCAGGAGGGGGTGGCCAGACTAGACTAGGGTACTGGATGTGGGACTCCATCTGGTTGGTTGGCGAGAGGGTGTGGATGGGGCCATATTTTGGACTTTTGTTTCCAAGTTACTCACTATTATACTCACTTTGACTGTCTTGTAGAGGTCTTGAATAGATTTTCTTAATTCATTTATTTGTTTGAATCTTCTATATGATCATCAATTTTTTTCAAAATGAAGACTGAAGTTTTTCATAGACATTTCAGTTATCTCTGTAGTTTTGCATTCCATTATATGAGAGCTGGGCATTTGGGGATGTGTCATGGATATAATTGTGTCATATTTCTTGAGTTTGTTAAATTTTGCACACATGTTGGAGTGTATTTATCTTTCAGTTTTGACCTTCTCTTCTTCCTAGTCTATTGAATGTTTTGTTTTTATGACTCTTCCCCAGGGATCTCTTCATGAAGCTTAGCTATGGGTATTGGTTATGCTTGGTGTTGGTTGTCAATGGACTTTTGGAGGTAAAAACCCTCATCGTCCCTTGGCTTTTGCAAACACTCTAAGAGATAAAACAAGTATCAGACCCACTGGCATCTGTGTACTCACTGGAAATTGTGGTTTCCAGTAGGCCCCAAACAACCTCTGAGACTACAAGAATACAGATTTCTGGCCCTGAAACGACTCCTGAAACCTTAAGAGTCAAAATCCCAGACCAATCCTGACCTGTGAGATACTGAAGCCATAGCCTCCATTTCTCAGTGGACCTAGGGCCTTCCAAAGCTGTAGCCTTGCACTGATCTCTGGGGCCACTTGGGATGAAGAGCTAGTCCTGTGGTACTCTCTGGTCCCAATGAAACTGGAAGTTTGATTCCATGTTCTACACTAATTCAGCAAACTATTCATTGAGTGTTGGCTGGTTACCATACAAAAATATTAAGGTCATAGCAAGGACTAATAGCTTTGGGGAGGCAGTGTGGATCTACCCCTTAGCCACTCAGCTGGCAGATGATGCATTCTAACCCCATGTGTCCTATTAATCTTTGAAAGAACAAACTTTAAAAAGATGTATTGTTGTTTATTATTTTTCTTTTTTTGAGATTATGATATAACTACATCATTCCCTTTTCCCTTTTCTCCCTCCCATATACTCCTTGCTGTCTTCTAAATTCATGGCTTCTTTTTCATGAATTTAATTTTTGTTATATATACATATATATGAACATATATGTATAAACATGTATATTCCTTAAAATATAAAATGCAACCTGCTTAATCTGTATAATGTTACTTGTAAGTATCTCTTCAGGGTCTGCTATTGAATATCCAATTGGTATGTGCATGTTTGCACAGGTATACACTACACACGAACCCACACACACACACAAACCTACACACACAAACTCACACACAGAAATCTATTGTTCAAAGTCTTTAGGATTTACACTTTTAAACATCTGGGATCCATGTTACAAACCAAATGATAGTCCATCCAGAGTGACACACCAAGTAATCCCAGAAATTGGAAGGTAGAAGCAGGAGGTTCAAGAATTCAAGGTCAGAAAGGGTTATATGAAATGATGCCCCAATAAAAAATATTTTTTCATTGTAAATTATTTAAAATTATTTAAATTACACCTATGTCACTCTAGAACTCAATCTTTCAATATAGTGAGAATAAACACAACTATTTCCTGTATTAGAATATATTTAATCACAGAAAGTTTGGGGACGTTGATATTCAGTATTAATTTGAAGTATTAAAATAATAGTTTATACATACTGATAGTTAATATTGACTAATTTAGCAGATGATTGAAACATTAATATACTTAAATGAGATAATGGTTTTTTTTTTGAGACAGGGTTTCTCTGTGTAGCTTTGCGCCTTTCCTGGGACTCACTTGGTAGTCCAGGCTGGCCTCGAACTCACAGAGATCCGCCTGGCTCTGCCTCCCGAGTGCTGGGATTAAAGGCGTGCGCCACCACTGCCCGGCGAGATAATGTTTTTAACTTTTAGGAGTCTAATGTACTACCCATTGCATACCAGAGTGTTTTTTTAATTAATAATTTTAAGATCATCAAAATAAGATCAAATAAAAAAAGTCTATAACATGCTAGGATATTATGAAAGAAATATTTAAAGACAACAGCTTTTAGTTTATTAAAAAAATCACATTGGAATGAATTGGCTTTGTCCATTGCTACAAAGAACTAAGATGATATGATTAGCACTGTGGGAATTTCAAGAATAAAACCTTGAGAAAAATATAAATAAAAGAAAGCTAGATCTTGACATCATAATAATTCTTAAGTTTTTCTCATAAGCTATGACAATTTTCTGAGATTTTTAAAGAAATGTTTGTTTGTTTTTAAAAACCATTTTAGTCCCATTCATTCTCCACAACACATGCTAAAATTTATTATTTCATTTTATTTTCATAAGAAAATCATGGGAAGGTACCCACAAGGGGAATTTCTATGGTGTCTTTTGCCAAGAAATTTCCACTGAGATTCATTATCTACATGGAGAGCGAAGTCTCAGGGCTTTATAAAGCACAAGAGCCCCTCCTTTGCTTTGTTTGTTTTCTGTGGTGCCTGGACTCAAACCCAAGGCCTGGTGCAGAAGGGCAAAGTGTCTACCCCGAAGCCAAATCACCAGGTCCTTCCTCAGTTATTTTCTTTTCAGAGTAAAATATATTTCCTCACTTTAAAATACTTCTGATTTTTCATATCAAATATTAAGGATTTATGGTATATAAAGCCACTCTAGACAGAGGGAGTAGTCAATGCTTATCTACTATTAACACTGAATTCTGATAAAAAGACCAATATTCACATTTACAAGAAAGTGGGGTACCACCACAAAAGTCAACATTAATTCAAGGTAGGTGTTTCATATGGGTGGAGATTATTCCTCTGATTTGATGTAAGTTTTGCATAACTGCGTGCTATGAATTCTTTGTGCAAACTTGCATATTAAAGAATGCATGCATAAATTACATTTTGATACTAACAAGAACCTTTATAATTTACAACATTAAAATGCATTTTTAAGGTAGTCCAGGGATCCTCCTTGCCTTAGTATTTCTGCTAATTAAAATAAATGTACACAAATATTAAAATGTTGAAGGCCTTAATATTAGATTTAAGTGAGATGATCTGAGAAATTAAAAAAAATAGAAGGAAAGAAAATGCAAACATTATGGGAGGAAGAGAACTGATAGAATTTGGATGCAACTAGAAGAGATATTACATTAAATATTGCACATTAACAAGCAGATGAATGTTGTGGTCCATGCCTGCAACCACAACATTGGTGAAGCTGAGATAGGAATCTCATCACATATTTGAGGCTGCCAAAGCTATATGGTGAGTTTCAAAAAAGCCTAGCCTGCAGAGTAAGACCATGTCTCAAAATATGTGACTGAAAGAAAGGCAGGATGGAGAGGGCTGGAGGGAGAAAAGGTGTTCTTATGTATAATGGACTTACAACTAAACAAATAGACAAAAATAATGCACAACTGTCTAAATGTATTACAGATTACAACTCACAATGTGAAATTCACTAATGTACTCATAGTATGCTGATAAGTCATGTTGCTGTATTAATATTTTATTTCTAGGATTTGCAATGAATTATTTTACCTTATTTTTTCAAGTTCTGAATTTATTTCAAGAGATCATTTCCTCTTAGTGAAGTGCTTGACTTTATAGCCTAAGTTTAAATTGGTAAGTCAGTTAAAAGTTTGGAGAGTAGAGCAATATTTGTTGTTTCTATGTAACTCTGAACTCATCTAAACCAACCTTTAATCTAACTAGAGCATGGTGAAGGTCAGTAGATCACAGATGTCAGAATTTAACATGAGGTAAGTCAACATGAGTGGTTCCTAGGCATTCTTTAGATCATCCATTTATTATCCTTATTCTTCTAGCTCACATAAGATCAATCTAACTTTTTCTTTACTTGTCTATTATTCTATTAGAATATGCTGTATTGTAATTCTTGCTTAAATGTATAGAATCATTAATCTTTCTCTTGTTGGTAACAAAAGGCAATATTTGTTTCATGCTTTCAAATATTAAATCAGTTCAGTGAAGTGACATTCCAAGAAAAGTCTCTTAATAACTCATGTTATTTTATTTAACTCCATATCTTGACTGTCATAGAAATTCCATACTAAAATACAAGTCTTCACCTTCACTTGAATTCACCAGTCAACAAAAGTAATGAATCTAGGCAATGAAAGTGCTCCAAAGATCTTCATTCTTTTGGGTTTCTCCAACCATCCATGGCTGGAAATGCCCCTCTTCATAATGGTGCTTGTTGCTTATATCTGCACAATGCTGGGAAATATCTCAATTATTGTTCTATCCAGGATAGACCCCCAACTGGACAGCCCAATGTACTTCTTCCTATCTAACCTCTCCTTCTTGGACCTGTGTTTTACTACAACCACCATCCCTCAGCTGCTTCTGAATCTTTGGGGCCCAGATAAATCTATCAGTTATGGGGGCTGTGTGACACAGTTTTATGTTTTTCACTTCCTGGGGGCTACAGAGTGCATCCTCCTGGCTGTGATGTCTTTGGATCGTTACATTGCCATATGCAAGCCCCTACGATACCCATCCATCATGCACCAGCAACTGTGTATCCTCCTGGTGTCCATGGCATGGCTGAGTGGTTTGGCTAACTCGTTGCTTCAATCAACCCTCACTGTCAAGCTACCACTTTGTGGAAACAACAAGGTAGACAACTTTCTCTGTGAGGTCCCAGTGATGATCAAGATGTCCTGTGCTAACACTGCATTCAACGTAGCTATGCTCTCCATTGTAGGGACTTTCTACTCCCTGGTTCCCTTGTCACTTATCCTTGTTTCCTATGGGTTCATTGTAGCTACTGTGCTGAGGATTCGTTCCTCAGAGGGCAAGAAGAAAGCCTTTAATACATGTGGTTCTCATGTTGTTGTTGTGTCTCTTTTCTATGGACCAGTAATCAGCATGTATGTACAACCTTCATCTTCTAATTCCCAGGACAAGAACAAACTTCTGTCTCTGTTCTACAGTTTGGTGACTCCTATGCTTAACCCTTTTATCTATACTTTGAGGAACAAGGACATGAAAGGAGCAATGAGGAGGCTTCTTGTCTCATTGTATCACAGAGGAACAGAGCAGACCTAACTTTTAGACCCATCCTCTGCATTTGTGGCTTTAGTTCTAACATTATCTTTTTAGCATCCATTAGTTCTGTTCTATCTACGTATATCTTCCCATCATACTGCTATGATTTCTTCACTCATTGTAAACTCTAAGCCTAATTTGTCTTCAGTTTGCATGAGCATGAAGACAGCCACATAACTAAGTTGCTTTGTATCTATCTAGAGATCTGTTGTAGAAACCTAAGGAATTGGCAATAAATAAATAAATGCTTACTGATCAGTTTTGTCAAGCTACAGCAATAGTAACAAAAACAACAATGAGGATGACTCAAAACAACAAAAATATATAAATTTTTAATGTCATTTTGGAAAATAAGTAAAAAGAATTTAGCTTGATGTTTACCAAGGCTTAAATTTCTATTCAAGAATTATCTATTTCATAACTGGGTGTAATGATGCATGCCTTTAGTCCCAGGACTTGGAAGTCAGGTCACAGATGGATCTCTGTGAGTTCAAGGTCAGCCTGGTCTACATAGTAAGTGCGAAGACAGCCAGAGATACATAAAAGCACCCTGTCTTGGGGAAAAAAAGAATTAACTATTTCATGAATTACCAGCAAGATCAAGTGAGTTGTTATCTCACATTTTGTAAACTGTCAACCACACATCCACTAATCTTTTAAGAAGAAAATATTTAAAAATTTTAACTTTTGCTGTCTAAAAATCTTGATGGATTCCTTTCTTTTGAGTTATTTGGCTACAGCCAGTCTTTTTGGGTTTCAAAAGGAAGAGTTGATGATTAAAATCCTTAGAAATATTTACATTCAATACTTTCTTAGTATTGAAAGTTTTTTTGGGAAATGAGATGTAAAATAGATGAGGAAAATGGAAAGCAGAGAAAAATGGATAAAAAAGTGGAGAAAAATGTAAAGTAAATTGGCTATCAAATCATGAAGTTTTACATGAAAATGAAGCCTAAAGATTGATGATGATGTATGGTGATATATGTTATTTTATTAATAATATCAACAAAATAAATTAGTAATTGTCTCATACTTTTGTGCACCCCACCATAACAACACTGTCATCTTTCAACTTCTGTTTAAGGAAAATGTTTCTTTGCTTCTCTAACAACCAAGAATGTATATAAGGTCTTCATACTCCAACTGTTATTTTCCTCCAAACAACAACAACAAAAATCTACAAATAGAAAACAAACCTGAGACACAATATATACTGATTCCAACCAGTTATTACTAATGATAAATTCTCTCACTTTTCAACTTGTGCTTTATTGTACACATCCTTTATTGTCTGTGCATGTGCAGCATACATACACGTGGGTACAATACACCTCTCCCTGTAGACTTCAGGGGAAGAATGTTGCACTTTGGTTTCTGTTAGAGACAGAGAAACTTCATTCTTTTGTAGACTAACCAGGTCCATAGATAGCCACATCTGCTAAGAATCAGAGAAAAAAGAGTATAGTTTAGAAAATATCTCATTAGGAGACACTGAATCCCAGACTCTGAAGAGACAAAAAGAAGATGAGCTGCAGGCAGAGAGAGAAGTAAAACCTCACTTTGGGGTTGAATTATATATAGGTAGCCTATTATGACAATTTGAGGGCTGAAAGAAAGCTATCTGTAATAGATTATTATATTTCCCAGGTAATTGAAATACTAATCAGCAGTAATAAATATAGTAAATAGACTACTTTAGGGCATAGCTTTTTTAAGATTGTGTAAAGATTTTCAATATTTCTTAAAGACTGTGTTTACAATTTTAAAGTCAGTATTCATTAGATAATTGTTTCATCTTATTAATGTTATAACTTATGAATAGATGGTAACTTATTGCACTTTAAACATTAAGCACAATATTGTTCTCTTTCTCTTGAATATACTTTGTCCTGAATATGTAAGTAACTCTTTAATGTGTACCTCTTATAATCAATAAAAGGGGTATAATTGTAGATGAATTGTGTCAAAACAGTAAAATTCAAGTTTGGATGTTATTTCTCAGTAAACATATTGAAGAACACTTCTCAAATGCAGGTTTTAGAAGTATGTAGTTTTCTCATGTGTAAGCAAAAGTGTCTTATATCAGTATCTTGAGAAATCCTGTATAAAAAAAAAAATCTATGTTGAGCTTGATGTGGTGGCAATACCAGCACTCAGGAGGCAAAAGTAGGAATATAATCACTAATTCCTGACAGCTTGGTCTACTGAGTGATAACAAGCTCCAAGCAAGCTGGGGCTATATAGGGAAACAATGCACAAAAAATTTCCAACAAAAATTTTATTGAAAAGCTTTCTCACTTAATTTTTATATGATTCACTTAGTGGGGACATCATAGTGAAAAAAAAAAACTTTGATGTATCTATTGGAAAATGAATTAAAAAAAATCAGACAAGGAAAAATTATAGTCCCAATAAAGATAAAAATTGACATTATAATTACTGACAAAGAATGACTAAGAACATAAACAGAATGTAGATTCATGTTTAAATAAAATTTTCTAGTGTCCAGATTGAGAAGATAAACAAGGTTGACAAACACTTGGCCCAATGAACCAAAAGAAAAAGAACGAAGAAGATGACCCCAATTAACAGAATGAAAGACTGAGGAATGCTGGGAGGAAGAACAACGGTCTTCCCCGGGGAAAGGCACACCTGTACCAGAGCTTCAGTGTGGTGATATTTCATTTGTGCTGAAATGTGATATTTTATTTGTGTGTTAACAAATAAAGTTTGCCTGGAGATGGGGGTGGGGGGCAGCCATTTTAAGTAAACAAAGAAGTCAGGCAGCACACGCCCTTAATCCCTTAGCAGGCACACTAGGGAACAGAGCCAAGCGTGGTGACACACACCTTTAATCACAGTACCAACCATAGATACCTGGAGGTCTGTACAGACAGACAGACAGTGACAGAGGTGTGTAGGAAGAGGAAGTGAGGTAGCTAGGCTAAGAGAGCCAATGAGAGGGCAGAAAAGCAAGGCATATAAAGCCTGGGTAGACCAGGAAGTCGTGTTCTTTGGAAGTTGTGGAGTTGGTGAGGTGAGGTTAGCTCGTGGCTTTCCATATTTCCGTGATATCTCTAAGGCTTTAACCCAAATTTCTTGCTCTGTGTTTTTTTTATTTAATAAGACCATTTAGAAATTTGGCTACACTTGAGCCCTGAAAATATACATACACATATATTATATAGACTGAGCAGATTGTATTTATGTATTTAGGATTGTATGTACATCTACATATTTTTATTCAACAAAAATTAATTTTAAAAGAGGCTATGGATTTGAAAGAGAGAAAGGAAGTGTATATGGAAGGAGTTGGAAGGATGAATGGCAAACAGGAAACGATGTAATTACATTATAATCTCAAATACTGAAAGAAATATTTTTTAAAAACTGAACATAGAAACATTAAAAAAGGCATAAAATATCAGAATATTATAATGGAATACTTTAAAAACTTACTCCATTATAAATCTGAAAGAAACGACTGAATTTCTACATTGATCCAAACCACCAAAGTTATACTCAGAAGAGATCAATGACCTAAACAGACCCATAACAAATTCAGAAATTGAAACAGAAACCAACCAAACAAACAAAACCTTTGGATTAAAATACAACAACAACAACAACACAGGGCCATACAGATTTCACAGCAGAATTCTACCAGACCTTTTTTTTTTTTTTTTTAATTTATTTTAATTTATTTTGCAATACAATTCAGTTCTACATATCGGTCACGGATTCCCTTGTTCTCCCCCCTCCCGTCCCCCTCACCTTCCCCCCAACGCCCCCCCCCCCCCCCCCCCCCCCGTTCCCATCTCCTCCAGGGCAAAGCCTTCCCCACAGACGGAGGTCAACCTGGTAGACTCAGTCCAGGCAGGTCCAGTCCCCTCCTCCCAGGCCGAGCCAAGCGACCATGCATAGGCCCCAGGTTTCAAACAGCCAACTCATGCAATGAGCACAAGATCTGGTCCCACTGCCTGGATGCCTCCCAAACAGATCAAGCCAATCAACTGTCTCACCCATTCGGAGGGCCTGATCCAGTGTGGACCCCTCAGCCATTGGTTCATAGTTCATGTGTTTCCATTCATTTGGCTATTTGTCCCTGTGCTTTATCCAACCTTGGTCTCAACAATTCTCGCTCATATAAACCCTCCTCATTCTCGTTGATTGGACTCCCAGAGATCCACCCAGGGCCTAGTCATGGATCTCTGCATCCAGATCCCTCAGTAGTTGGATGAGGTTTCTAGCACAACAATTAGGGTGTTTGGCCATCCCATCACCAGAGTAGGTCAGTTCGGGCTGTCTCTCGACCATTGCCGGCAGTCTGTTGTGTGGGTATCTTTGTGGATTTCTGTGGGCCTCTCTAGCACTTTGCTTCTTCCTGTTCTCATGTGGTCTTCATTTACCATGGTCTCCTATTCCTTGTTCTCCCTCTCTGTTGTTGATCCAGCTGGGATCTCCCGCTCCCCCAAGCTCTCTTTCCCTCGACCCTCGCCTTTATAGAACACCAGTAGCACAGACTCTGAGAGAAACAATCAATCAATGGGACCTTTTGAAACTGAGAAGCTTTTGTAGAGCAAAGGATACGGTCAACAAGGCAAAGCGACAGCCTACAGAATGGGAAAAGATCTTCACCAACCCCACATCTGACAGAGGACTGATATCCAGAATATATAAGGAACTCAAGAAATTAGACATCAAAATGCCCAACAGTCCAATTAAGAAATGGGCTATAGAACTAAACAGAGAATTCTCAACAGAGGAAACTCAAATGGCCGAAAGACATTTAAGGAATTGCTCATCATCCCTAATCATCAGGGAAATGCAAATCAAAACAACTCTGAGATACCACCTTACGCCTGTCAGAATGGCTAAGATCAAAAACACTGAAGACACCTTATGCTGGAGAGGATGTGGAGCTAGGGGAACTCTCCTCCACTGCTGGTGGGAATGCAAGCTTGTACAACCACTTTGGAAATCAATATGGCGCTTTCTTA